ACCCGGGGACTATGTGAGAGTTACCCGGGGACCATGTGAGAGTTACCCGGGGACCATGTGAGAGTTACCTGGGGACCATGTGAGAGTTACCTGGGGACCCTGTGAGAGGTTCTTTCTCATCTTCCATCGTTAGCAAAGATATCTTCTACCTTTGTCAGGGACACATAGAGGCTGTAATAGACTGAAATGGGTCTGGCCCATTTCTCAATTATACCTGTGGCTTATAATGAGTTCGTTATACCTGCAATATCTCTGATTTTTTTGAGTTGTCTTATACCTGTAATGGGTAAAGAGCTTTCTATTCAAGGTCACAAATAGCATAGAGGTCAAAGTGTTCTTGCTCCTATGTTCAAGGTAAGAAATGGCATAGAGGTCAAATAGCATAGAGGTCAAAGCAATCTTGCCCAATGGTTAAGGTCATAGATAGTAAGGAAGTTGAAGTGTTCTAACCCCTGTTCAAGGTTACAAATTACATGGTTGATCAAAGTGGTTTTACCTAATGTTCAAGCTTATAAATTGCATGGAGGTTTAAGTGTTCATGCCCAAATGTTCAAGGTTACAAATCATATGGGGGTGAAACTGTTTTACCCCCTATATGTATATTCAAGGTCATGAATAGCAAGGAGGTCAAGATGTTCTAACCCCTCTACAGATTATAAAAACCTGGGAGATTGAAGTGTTTTTTACCCAATGTTCAAGGTCACAAATCGCATGGAGGTCAAAGTTTTCCTCCCAAAACAAACACCATGGATGTCCAAAGGTGATCTACTTTACTTATGATATTAACGAAACATCAACGGTACATTTATGGATAAAACACTTTATGAAAAAATATGTTATTCTGAGATCACAATGTTCCATGATCATTCAGATGACTTAATTTTTCCAAAGGTCTCACCAGTTTAACTATAATAAGACACATTATTCTACTATGTAGATTTAGGTAAAGTGTGTTTAGTATTACCGGGGCCTAACAAGACCAATCGTTCTAATAGCTCCTGTCCACGGTGCTCTAGTTCAATTACAGAGGTGTAAAATCCTGTGATGCCTCTCACCCTGGGCTCTCATATTGGAGGTACCAGAAACCCAAGACTACAGTTTGTGTTCCCCTCTATAGGGGAGACCAGTTTTTCTGCTAAATATCTGATAATGCTCCTAACAAGAAGCATATTTATTCATCACCTTAACTGCTGGTGCTAATTTACAGCAATTTGGGGCCTGTGGATAGCTGGCTCCGATGTCATTGTGGATACACTGGGTTCTATAGGACAGCATTGCTCCGTACCACCTAGTAAACACTAGGTCTACTCCGCATAGACTTGTAAGCTAAGTGTTTTGGTAGTATATCGTAGCCAATTTGTCTCCCCACTTAACCACAACACTGATCCCTCCAAGATCATCATCATCAACCGCTGATCAGATCCCAGGATTTGCCAGGAAGAACATTCCAAACACACCTATTGCCAGTTCAATAAACAATATTGTTATGTTACAATTGTTTTAGGCCCTGTTTAAAGGTCAAGTATGAGTTACCTCCCCCTCGCTACCACCAAAGTGATTTACCGTCCCCCATGACATATTGTCCCCCTCTCACTCCCAAACATTATATTTGCCCTCTTCAACCCCACCCTGGGACCTAAACCCACATCTAACAGCACTTTGTTGTTGCTATGTTGTTGCTGTGTTGTTACTATGTTGTTGCTTTGTTGTTACTATGTTGTTGCTATGTTGTTGCTGTTTTGTTGCTGTGTTGTTACTGTGTTGTTGCTATGTTGTTGCTGTGTTGATGCTGTGTTAATGCTGTGTTGTTGCTGTGTTGTTACTGTGTTGTTGCTGTGTTGTTGCTATGTTGTTGCTGTTGTTGCTATGGTATCAAACCCTCAAGGCCTAACAATAACAAAGGATGTTACCTTTGGTACCGGGAGTCGAACCCACACCTGACAGCACAGTGGGTTTCAGATGCTGTCAAACTCCGTAGACATAATGACGGTATAGCAAGGGACGCTAGGTTGTGTTTGCTGAAAATACTATGGTATTTGTTAGAATAAACCAATGTTAAACCCCTAGACCTTAAAAACTGTTGGTGTTCTATGATGTTAATTCTAACCACATACTTAATTAATGGGCACTTGTAACGTGGTGATGTATGTGTTATATTTAATACTGTTCTAAGGTTGGCATTACACATTACAGTTTTACACACACTGTACTTTAAAGAGACTGGTTCAGTTTAGTAAATTTCTTTTGCCTGACATTTAAGTCTGTGTTTTGTAAATCTATCCGTCGGTATAAAAACCCGGCGGTAACTGAGATCCTGGCTAAGTCTGTTCCTCTACATGTCATTGGCTGCAGGTTATATTTCAGCTTCAAGTAGCCGAAATCAAACAAAACATTATCTAAATCTGATTAAAGAACAAAACAAGTTGTGACCGCTGACCAGACAATTATGACTATGATATGACCTTAACACCTCATTTGTCTCAAATTCCATCTTCAGTGTTCCTTTTTCTTGAATCATACGGAATTTTAAATTGAATATATAGGACTATATTTATCTTAAATTGTTTTTCATAATTATTGCCTGTTATGTCTCTTTTTTCTTGTACTAATTATTTTGGGTTCTAGGAGGTAAATTGAAATATAAAAAAGATCCTGGTTTAAGTGTACGTTATTGATTGACCACTTGACCAATAAAACCCATCATGGTATCTAGCATGAGGTTGAACCTTTCACCCTTCTTAACCCTTTCACCACTGTTGACCCTAATGGACTCATCCCAATCAATGCATGGTAGAGTCTATAAGAGTTACATAGGGGTGAAAGGGCTAAACCATTTAGACTCTTTAGAGAAGTTTGACTTCTTTCAGAATTTTTTATTTACATTTGTTTTAGATAAAAGAAAATCTCTCCGGGAAACAATAAACATTCTGGAACACTGGATACAAGATTGGCTGCATACACTTATATATAATCTTTACAAAATCAGGAAAACATTAATAATGGATATTTCACTCACTGTAAGTTTTGGAATGAATTCTCTAATTTCATGATACCTTACCATTATGACAAATGTACACTGACAAAAAGGAAGAAAACTTGCTGTAGGTTCTGTAAGTCATATTGTGATGGGTACAGAGGGGAACACAATACATCTGTTTAACTGTTGGTGGAGGTGTGAGCCAGTTGATGATGAAGTTGTCATTCTCGGTGGGGAGTAGTTACACTTCCTGTACCCTGTGGGGAGTAATTACACTCCCTGTGAGTAATTACACTTTGTGGGGAGTAATTACACTCCCTGTACCCTGTGGGGAGTAATTACACTCAGTGGGGAGTAATTACACTCTGTTGGGAGTAATTACTCTCTCTGTGGGGAGTAATTACATTATGTGGGGGAGTAATAACACTCTGGAGAGTAATTACACTCTGTGGGGAGTAATTACACTCTGTTGGGAGTAATTACACTCTGTGGGGAGTAATTACACTCTGTGGGGAGTTATTACACTCTCGGTGGGGAGTAATCACATTATCTGTTGTGAGTAATTACACTCCCTATGGGGAGTAATTACACTCCCTATGGGGAGTAGTTATACTCTGGGGAGTAATTACACTCTGTGGGGAGTAATTACACTCCCTGTGAGTAATTTCACTCTGTTTGGAGTAATTACACTATGTGGAGAGTAATTACACTCTGGGGAGAGTAATTACACTCTGTGGGGAGTAATTACACGCTGTGGGGAGTAATTACACTCTCAGTGGGGAGTAATCACATTATCTGTTGGGAGTAATCACATTATCTGTTGGGAGTAATTACACTCCCTATGGGGAGTAATTACACTTTCTGTGGGGAGTAATTACACTCTCTGTAAGGAGTAAACTGATATTTTCCCTTCAAGTGATCCATACGACAAATCTATTATACACTGGTCTAAAACCTGATACTCACTATGTAATCTACAGGGATCCAGACTAGACTTACTCAAGTCCTTGTTAGTGGGTAGACTTACATTTACACAGATCCATCACAATGTGATCTACAGGGATCAAGACTAGACTTACTCAAGTCCTTGTTAGTACAGGTATGAATACATGTGACTGTGTTGTTTAGTATGCTGTAAGGGACAGGTATGTATGCATGTATAATGTGTGTGTTATACAGTGTGTTTTAAGTGAGAGGCGTACATGTGACTGTGTTGTTTGGTATGCTGTAAGGGACAGGTATGAATACATGTGACTGTGTTGTTTGGTATTATGTAAAGGACAGGTATGTATACATGTGACTGTGTTGTTAGGGATGCTGTAAGGGACAGGTATGTATACATGTGTCTGTGTTGTTTGGTATGATGTAAGGTACAGGTATGAATACATGTATAATGTGTGTGTTAAACAGTCTGTTTTAAGTGAGAGGCGTACATGTGACTGTGTTGTTTGGTATGCTGTAAGGGACAGGTATTAATACATGTGACTGTGTTTTTTGGTATGATGTAAAGGACAGGTATGAATACATGTGACTGTGTTGTTTGGGATGATGTAAAGGACAGGTATGTATACGTGTGACTGTGTTGTTTGGGATGCTGTAAGGGACAGGTATGTATACATGCGACTGTGTTGTTTGGGATGCTGTAAGGGACAGGTATGTATACATGTGTCTGTGTTGTTTGGTATGATGTAAGGTACAGGTATGAATACATGTATGATGTGTGTGTTAAACAGTGTGTTTTAAGTGAGAGGCGTACATGTGACTGTGTTGTTTGGTATGCTGTAAGCGACAGGTATGAATACATGTGACTGTGTTGTTTGGTATGATGTAAGGGACAGGTATGTATACATGTGACTGTGTTGTTTGGTATGATGTAAGGTACAGGTATGAATACATGTATAATGTGTGTGTTAAACAGTGTGTTTTAAGTGAGAGGCGTACATGTGACTGTGTTGTTTGGTATGCTGTAGGGGACAGGTATGTATTGTTGTAATGATTGTTCTTTCCCTATCTCTGTTTTCAGATAGACACTGGAGTAGGTGTTGATGCTTCCTGAAAAAAATATGAATGAAAGACATGTCCTGTTTACTATATAGACCTGGGGAGAGATGCTAGCCTGACACGACCACACATTTATCCAATGTGTAACGCCCGACAGCAGAAATTTGTGCAGTCGGAGGAATGCAGAGTTGCAGGTTGTCAGTGATCTGCCAAGAGAAGATCCATGGCAAGGTCTGAAGTGATAGAAACGGTATGTACACGGAGGTGTCTAAATCCCAGTCTGATGTGGCAAATTTGTCCATCCTGGTACGGAGTGTCAGTCTGGGGCATGTTGGACCGTAGAATGATGCTCGTGCATTCCTGCACTGTTGTGTACATTAGTGAAACATGGCCAATGACCTGGTATATTTGGGAGGTGTGACGTAACTTCTGGCAACTGCACCATCACAGTAGCAGTTGATCTCTCCGTAGAGCAAGCCGAATACTGTAGAACTGGTAAATATCCGCGTGTGGAAATGTTTGCCTCGTGATACTTTATACTGTGTTGGGAATGCATATAATTGCCAAATTTTATATGTGCAACATATGGACAGACCAGGGTTCGAACCCGGGATCCTCCAAACTCTAGACGAACGCTCTACCATTTTAGTTTTCTGGTAGCCGACGATCGACCCAGTCCAGTTTCATTACATTCCTCCCTCCTTTTTCTAAGTCTTCGCCCCCGAAGACACAACTATTTACAACCCAGGTCTGGTTATACCCTTGTAAAACATACACCAAATGCTTGAAACAAGGGTTGGTCACAGGCACCACTGTAACAGGAGAGGAAAAATGCACGGCCAGCCCGGGGTTCCAACCCGGGACCCTCTGAACTCTAGACGGACATTCTACCACTTGAGCTATCTGGTAGCCGGCGATCGACTCAGTCCAGTTCCGCTACATTTGCAAGAACCTTTTGAGATGCTAGTATGTCGAGTCTGGTGTCCCACAATAAGTAGAGTTATGGCCCATTTTCACTTTAAATAAGTTTATGTAGGGCATATTTTATAAATATATTGTGTAACCTTTAATTGCCAAATGTGAATATCTTTTGGGATAGTGAAGTTTTTGCATATTCAGAATTTGGTCTCTCTTTCCTACTTCAGAGTTATGGGCCTTTGTTCAGTTTTCGTTGGAAGTTTGTATAAAAAGAGCTTGAGGGGGACGGTATGGATTGCTTACATTCTTGTTTTATCTATGACTGTCCTCAATTACCTCAATGACCTCAATGTCTACATGAATTTTGAGTGTTTTACCTATTTTGTACCCATTGACCCATTAACATACAATTCTGTCCTGAAAAAATATTATTTGCTCGTTAAACTAACTCTGTCCTCAATAAACATAGTGTACCTATTGACCTGAAATTCTGCCCTGAATGACCTTAATGCACCCATTAACTCGCAATTCTGTCCTCAATGACCTTGTTTTGCACATTAAACTATATTTTTGTCCTCTGCGACCTTCTCCTGCCCATTAACCTATAATCCAGTCTTCAATAACCTTTCAGTCCTATTAGCTGTATAATCTTTCCCCGGTAACCTTGATCACTAATCACCAATACAAGTGTACCTGGTGACCTTGTACTAATTGTCCATGATGCAATATGCCCTGCATTAATTTGATATAATAACACGTTGCACAGCTGCATTTTAGTTTGTATCTTATTGTTAGAGCAATGTCTATATCCTGTTCTGGTCGATTCTTGGTGGAATTAACTCCTTAACATTGTTTCCATTTCAATTACAATTCCTGCGATGGCTATACAAACCTTTACCTGCACAGGACAAGGAAACCATGCTATTTTACATGGTTGGTTATTAGCATCAATTTTCTTGTGAGAGACTCGATGACAAAAGCTGGCGATTAAAAAAGTATCGTGAATACACATTAGTGTGGCATGATGCTCTTTTTGTTTTCAATCATACTGATCACCATAGATACACTGAGAATGTAACGAAACAGTGTAATTTAATAAACTGTATATGGAGGGATAGATTTTTCATTTTTTCTTCATCTGTTAAAAGACGTATTCCCATAGCATGTATACAGGTGTAGTGTGTCGTGTACAACAGGTGTGGAAACTTTGTAAACTCCCACCTCGTGGAACCTTATATCAACATCACAACGGTGCCATTGTGTACAGAAAACCTAGTAGCCGAGTCCGAAAAACGGGCACAGAACTTACAGAAACCCTAGTAGCCGAGTCCGAAAAACAGGCCCAGAACTTACAGAAAACCTAGTAACCGAGTCCGAAAAACAGGCACAGAACTTACAGAAAGCCTAGTAGCCGAGTCCGAAAAACGGGCACAGAACTGAAAAAAAACCTACCAGTAGCCGAGTCCAAAAAATGGGCTCAGAACTTACAGAAACCCCGTCCCAGTAGCCGAGTCCGAAAAACGAGCTCAGACCTTACAGAAAACCAGTACCAGTTGCCGAGTCCAAAAAATGGGCTCAGAACTTACAGAAACCCCGTCCCAGTAGCCGAGTCCGAAAAACAAGCTCAGAACTTACAAAAAACCTACCAGTAGCCGAGTCCAAAAAACGGGCACAGAACTTACAGAAACCCTAGTAGCCGAGTCCGAAAAACGGGCTGAGAATTTACAGAAAACCTACCAGTAGCCGAGTCAAAAAAACAGGCTCAGAACTTACAGAAAACCGGTACCAGTAGCCGAGTCCGAAAAACGGGCACAGAACTGAAAAAAAACCTACCAGTAGCCGAGTCCAAAAAACGGGCTCAGAACTTACAGAAAAACTACCAGTAGCTGAGTCCGAAAAACGGGCACAGAACTTACAGAAACCCTAGTAGCCGAGTCCGAAAAACAGGCTCAGAACTTACAGAAAACCGGTACCAGTAGCCGAGTCCGAAAAACTAGCTCAGAACTTACAGAAAACCAGTCCCAGTAGCCGAGTCCGAAAAACAACCGCAGAACTTACAGAAAACCTCCCAGTAGCCGAGTCCGAAAAACAGGCACATAACTTTCAGAAAACCTAGTAGCCGAGTCCAAAAAACGGGCACAGAACTTACAGAAAACCTACCACTAGCCGAGTCCGAAAAACGGGCTCAGACCTTACAGAAAACCTACCAGTAGCCGAGTCAAAAAAACAGGCTCAGAACTTACAGAAAACCTCCCAGTAGCCGAGTCCGAAAAACGAGCTCAGAACTTACAGAAATCTAGTACCAGTAGCCGAGTCCGAAAAACTAGCTCAGAACTTACAGAAAACCAGTACCAGTAGCCGAGTCTGAAAAACGGGCTCAGAACTTACAGAAAACATACCAGTAGCCGAGTCCGAAAAACGAGCTCAGAACTTACAGAAAACCAGTACCAGTTGCCGAGTCCGAAAAATGGGCTCAGAACTTACAGAAAACCAGTACCAGTAGCCGAGTCCGAAAAAAGGGCTCAGAACTTACAGAAAACCAGTACCAGTAGCCGAGTCTGAAAAACGGGCTCAGAACTTACAGAAAACCAGTACCAGTTGCCGAGTCCGAAAAATGGGCTCAGAACTTACAGAAAACCAGTACCAGTAGCCGGGTCCGAAAAACGGGCTCAGAACTTACAGAAAACCAGTACCAGTTGCCGAGTCCAAAAAATGGGCTCAGAACTTACAGAAAACCAGTACCAGTAGCCGGGTCCGAAAAACGGGCTCAGAACTTACAGAAAACCGGTACCAGTAGCCGAGTCCGAAAAACGGGCTCAGAACTTACACAAAACCTACCAGTAGCCGAGTCTGAAAAACGGGCACAGAACTTACAGAAAACCAGTACCAGTAGCCGAATCCGAAAAAAGGGCTCAGAACTTACAGAAAACCAGTACCAGTAGCCGGGTCCGAAAAACGGGCTCAGAACTTACAGAAAACCGGTACCAGTAGCCGAGTCCGAAAAACGGGCTCAGAACTTACAGAAACCCTACCAGTAGCCGAGTCCAAAAAACGGGCTCAGAACTTACAGAAAACCTACCAGTAGCCGAGGCCAAAAAACAGGCACAGAACTTACAGAAAACCTACCAGTAGCCGAGCCCAAAAAACAGGCACAGAACTTACAGAAAACCTACCAGTAGCCGAGCCCAAAAAACAGGCACAGAACTTACAGAAAACCTACCAGTAGCCGAGCCCAAAAAACAGGCACAGAACTTACAGAAAACCTACCAGTAGCCGAGTCTGAAAAACGGGCTCAGAACTTACAGAAAACCAGTACCAGTTGCCGAGTCCGAAAAATGGGCTCAGAACTTACAGAAAACCAGTACCAGTAGCCGGGTCCGAAAAACGGGCTCAGAACTTACAGAAAACCAGTACCAGTTGCCGAGTCCGAAAAATGGGCTCAGAACTTACAGAAAACCAGTACCAGTAGCCGAGTCCGAAAAACGGGATCAGAACTTACAGAAAACCTACCAGTAGCCGAGGCCAAAAAACAGGCACAGAACTTACAGAAAACCTACCAGTAGCCGAGCCCAAAAAACAGGCACAGAACTTACAGAAAACCTACCAGTAGCCGAGCCCAAAAAACAGGCACAGAACTTACAGAAAACCTACCAGTAGCCGAGCCCAAAAAACAGGCACAGAACTTACAGAAAACCTACCAGTAGCCGAGTCCTAAAAACGAGCTCAGAACTTACAGAAAACCTACCAGTAGCCGAGTCCAAAAAACAGGCACAGAACTTCCACAGCTGTTAGATCCAGCTTAATACCACATAAAAATGAAATTTAATTTTTGTTTGGTAAATATTATCTTGGATATGCAGTGCTTCAGCATACTATACAGTAAACTCGTGACACATTACTTTACTAAGTCTTGTAAGGCAATGACCTTTTTACATGTTTGTTGAAAGGTCATCCCATTTTGATAATATTATATCACTGGTCAAACGTATGAGAACTTTCTGTGTATACAACAAATTATTTCATAAAAATCGGTGCAGATCAAGTTAAGAACGAATTGCTAGACATTTATTGATCTTTTAGGGTTTTGTTTTTTCACAAGGTCATATACACAATTTGTCTGCAGATATTGAAAACATTATTTAAGTTAAAGTCTCTTCAAAAAGTTTCGAAATCATTGAGAAAAAAACGGATTTTTATTAATTCACCAGAACAAGAAATTGGGCTTGAGCACAGAATCTGAGTTTGAGCGTGAGTACAATTTCAGAATACAGTCATCAGGTTTCTTCTGTGTCCCCTAGAAGAACGAACAGAAATGAATAATAATTCTGATTATGAGGGGTCAGGGTGGAGGGGGTAGGGGTGGTAGCATACATTAGTTGCCTGATTACTATAATATAATAGGATAGCAGGTCAATGCTCTGCTAACCTCCCTGAATATGCAGAAGACCAGAACCTATGTATACATAGTAATTAACCTGTGATATTGGCTATACCAATTATAGCTGAAATCTTTACCCTCATTCCCTTTACAACCTAGACCAAATTCCGGGTCACAAATGTAGGGGTATAGATATGTGCATGTCCAATGAGATTTAGATAGCTTTCTTCCAAATTTAATGAAGGAAAAACTAAAAGTCTAAAAATTAATGAATAAGATGATTTTCAAAAATCTTGCATTCTTTAAAAAAGAGTGATGTTTTTTACCAAATTAAGGAAGATAGCAGTTTCCAAAATATTGAAGAAAAACCTGTGTAGATCAATGTATATTTTTTCCATTTCTTTGAGAAAACATTAGATTGACTTTTCATTTCATAGCTATTCATTGAGAACATTGAGGTGATTTTTAGGTCACCTGAGCTTTGCTCAAGTAACCTATTCCAATCACTTTCCGTCTGTCGTCATCCGTCGTCCGTCGTCCGTCGTGCGTAAACTTTTACATAATCAACTTCTTCTCAAGAACCTGTGGATGGAATTTTTTCAAACTTGTTCAGAATCATCCTTGGTAGATGAGGATACCAAATTGTAAAATTGGGATTCCTACCCTAACCCTAGGGGCCAGGGTGGGGCCCAAAAGGGAAAATTAACCAATATTTAAAAAATCTTCTTCTCCAGACTCAGAGGTATTACAGTCATTTTCTCTGCATGCATGGAAAGATCACCAGGGGCTTTTTTTAATTGTAAATTTCAGGACCCCCGAGCTATCCGTTCTTCCTTTAGGGAGGGGGTAAAGTTTATTATAGTTTATATAGGGAAATAACACTTTTGGGTATATATTTTATCCATTTTCAGCAGAAAATCACTCAAACTTAGTCAGAATCATCTTTGGTGAATGAGAGTATTACTTCGTAAAATTGGGATTCCTGCCCCATCCCCAGGGGCTAGGGCGGAGCCCCAAAGGGAACATTTACCAATATTTTCAAATTCTTATCCTTTGATGACATGACAAGTATTGTATTTCACTTAGTTTACATGCTGATTTCCACATCACATCTAAACAATAAAATAAAGCTACCAGTACCTATGATATAACTCAGGTGACCGCTAAGGCCCTTGGGCCTCTTGTTTCTCACAGAAATGAAATTATTTTTAGTTGAATTAACGATGCAGCAGGTCACTTAGTAGCCAGCTGTGCATTTACTGCAGGATATAGTCGTGTATTTGCTGCGAACCAGTCACCTCCACTTGTCAAATGTCACCCCCAATCAGCTTCCACAATTAGAGAACAAAGACACACAATCCTGTGTGATACTTTGAATTCTCAATTTACATTGACACCTTTAATCTCTTACAGTGTTACCAATTATTATGGGTCAGGGCCATTGTCTGGCCTAATTGGTGATTTAAGTTCGTCTGTTAGTGTACCGATCAACTTCGTAATGACAATGAGGGTGGCGGACCTTTATCACAATACTGTTGATCTTCACAGCATTAAATAATTACATTTTACAGGGTGTGTTGTACATGCAGACAAAGACTTCTGGTTAGTTCAGTCTCTTTGTAAGATAAAAGGCTTTGAAATTATTCAGAATTTTTCAGTCATTGATCAAATTGGTAATTACAAAAAACAAGAAAAATCTAGCCAGTCAAAAAAATCTATTCATACATATGTACATGTAATTTTATCATTGGTATACTTAAAATATTTTCCCCTCAAAATTATGCTTATGAAATTGTTTTACAATCATGTTCAAATATTTTCCATTATCATCTGCTTTGTTGTTATTAATTGATTAAGTTTTGCAAAAAGAATCTTGTTAATATTTTTAGAAACAGCAGGTCAATATTCACCTTATGATCAATATGATGTCATTTCAATCGTAATGTCACAATAATGCTTGCGGCCAAACACAGAATTTTTCCTCTGAACATTTTTCATGTTATGTTCTATCATGTTTAATGATTAAAACTTTTTTTTTAAACTCGGAAAAAACAATTATATGGACCTGAAAAAAGTGATATTAACCTTGACTTAATTCATCTCCATCAATATCGCGTTCGCAGGTCCATACGACCACATATTCACCTCCACAAAGTCCACAATTGATAATAACAATGATACCAATTTTAAACTACATGGCAACAACTTGTTTTCATATGGGGAGATGGACATACAGTTTTTTGGACCAGTTCCTCGTGAGATCTGGTTGTGGATTTGTATAATTTGGAAAGTTATAGAACATACAGAATTCAGGAAGAGGCTGTCGGTCCGCAGTACCAGGCAGTGGTCTCTGTAATTATTTAATTTTCTTTAATTGTTTACAGGCTGTCGGCCAGAAACTGCTCACCAAACTTAATCAGGAGATCATGCATCATTGACTATCATACCGAGCTCTCCTGTCAGAGGAGGCCAGGAAAGGGTGAACAAGATTGTGGATGCATCATTTGAGGATATCAAGGTCTATAATACAAATCATATATTCTATTTTGTGTTCTACTGAAAAGTTAGTGAACCATGCCATTTCTGTATTTAACAAAGCAAGGAAATCAATAACTCTGTACATATATCATTTCTGGAACATGAGGCATTCATTTTAGCAAACTTTATCAAATTTGGAAGTATATTCTAGAATCTAGTCAGAATTGAAATCATTTTCCTGTTTTTCTCGAAGTTTCGTAGGATTGAAAACTGATTGAATTAGAAGATTATGCCGGAAAAACTGCTTCAATTTCCCCAAAAAGATTTTCCTGGAATATTGAAATTATTTAAGCTTCAATTTCATAAAATACTGCTTTTATTATATTTTCAAATTAATTTGGAGAAACAAATCGACTGAATATGTCCCTGTTTTAATTTTAAAAAGGAAATCCCCCATGATATTTCTATTTTTGAGGCTGGAACTTTTGTTTTTGGTAATAGGCGAGAATAGATCCCTTTCAGAAAATCCAGATCCTCAATCCTCAATCTATCTAAGATTTTTGAAAGTATATAAAACAACACTAAATTGTGTTTAACAACAATATCATGTGTGACAGGAAACTTTTGGATTGGGAAACCTGTCAAACAGAGCATCAAGGAGTTCCACAAGAGTGTCAACAATGAATGGGTAAGGATGACTTAATTGTAGAAACCCCACTGATTTTCCAATGAGTTTCAGCAATTATACATGACTGTTTGAAAGGAAGAAAGGTGTTACAGCTATTAATTTATTCTCTGAAACTTTCTGACTAAATTTCACCAGAATAGAAAAAAACCCAGTCTCATGCACTTAAATATGAATATTAACTTATTATTTATTTTACAACAATTATGAAACAAGTTATTTCAACTTATATTATTCACTCTTGTTGACCCGGAAGTTAGAGATCCGGGGGTGGGGGGTCTTATTGTGGGAGGAAACCGGAGAACCCAGATAAAACCCATGTGGTCGGGCAGATGACCTTTACACGTCCAATTGGGGAATGGAGCCCCGGCCCCCAATGCACAATTAACCCGACTGCCCTTAGAGTGAGCTCATGAGTTGTCATAAATCTAATATTTTGTCAAAATACCTTTCTTTATGATGTTACGTGCATGTTAGCAAGACAATTGAAATAGATAAAAACAAAAAGAAAGTGAAATATATCGCTCCGATTAGTGGGAAGTCTTCTTTGAACGGAATACAGTGAGTTAGATACTATAAGGAACTCGGGAGATATCGGGAACTAGTGTGATGTCAGGGAATTTTGTTATTGAGTTTGAGGTTATAATTAATGACTGTTCCTTAATCCGTCTTTGCATATTGCTGAGTTATCTGCTCTTCTGAGAAGGTATTGATTGTTACGTCATTGGTTTGTGAGAGTAACGTCATCAATTTTTGAGAAAACGACGTAAGTTTCTCACACAAACCAATGACGTAACAATCAATACCTGCTCACAAGAGAAGATTACTCTGCAATACGCCAAGACGGAATAGGGCAAAAGTATAAGTTTGTTTTAAGTAAAAAATTGTGATAACCTTGTTCTTTCTGATGCTGATATTTATTTTGAGTATTTACCTTTTTAAACTGTTCTACTTGATAAACACCTACGATCTTACTAACACACCCTTCTGTCATTTTGGCTGCAATAAATCATCTGAATACTCCATCCGAAAAATGTCAACAATTTCTGTTTCAATTGCAAGAATATTAGCCTTTAATATGAAAGTATAAAAAGGTAATGGACAAGCAGGTCTTATGTTTATCAGCATAGAATATTGACCATCCTGACTAGACATGTACTTATTGACAAATTATTAGTGCCCAATTTTTTAGCTATTTAAGTTGAGTATGATAAAAGAATTTATGAAATAGCTATAAATTCCCCTTTGTGGCCCCCCTGTGCATACCTTTGACATTTGACCTGTTGTTGGCTGTTAGTGTGCAGTTGTACACTATGTACATGTTAGCCATTTAATTCCAAATTAAAATTCGCTTTACAGGACCTTTAAAAAAACCATTTCACCCAGTCAAAATTCTCTCTTAGGGCTTCTCATAAGACATTTCACCCAGTCAAGATTCTCCCTTAAGGGCTTAATTCTCATAAGACATTTCACTCAGTCAAGATTCTCTCTGTTAAAGGGTTCTCATAAGACATTTCACCCAGTCAAGATTCTCTCTGTTAAAGGCTTCTCATAAGACATTTCACCCAGTCAAGATTCTTAAGGGCTTCTCATAAGACATTTCACCCAGTCAAGATTCTCTCTCTTAAGGGCTTAATTCTCATAAGTCATTTCACCCAGTCAAGATTCTCTCCTAGGGGCCTTCTCATAAGACATTTCACCCAGTCAAGATTCTCTCTTGAATGGCTCCTCAAGACATTTCACCCAGTCAAGATTCTCTCTTAATGGCTTTATTTTGATAAGACATTTCACCCAGTCAAGATTCTCTCTGTTGAGGGCTTCTCATAAGACATTTCACCCAGTAAAGATTCTCTCTTAAGGGCTAAATTCTCATAAGACATTTCACCCCGTCAAAATTATCTTATAAGGGCTTCTCATAAGACATTTCACCCAGTCAAGGTTCCTTTTACAGGGAATCTGATTAACATTTAGCCCATTCAAGATCCCCCCTTCAGATATTTTACTCAGTCAAGAATCCCTCTGGGTCTTTTAGTAACATATTTCACCTAGTCGAGAATCTCTTAACGGAACTTTTGATTTGACCTTTGATCGAGTCAAGTTTCTGTCCTAGGGCTTCTGATTTAGATATTTTAACTATATCAAGATTCATTTTACAGGTTTCTTATAAGACATATTTCGCACCCCAGATTCGCTGTACAGGGCTTCTAATTTAGTTACTGTAAAACCCAATATTAATGCCCCTTTGTTTAATTTGCCACCTCCTTTACCGCCAACATATTTCAATATTCCCTTGTATTGTTTCGTAGGAATTCCTTCATATATTTTCCACATTTGATTGCAAAAATCCTTTAAAATGCCATTTTTTTTCTAGACAAATGGTGGAAGTTTAACAAGGCTTTACTTATGAGACATTTCAAAGAGTTTTGTATATGGTCACACATTTTCACTAAGATGAAAATGCATGTTTTCCCCAGTTTGCATTTTGAAAATGTATGACTTTGCATCATTTTGTGATGTTTTGATCAAAAGAATCTCGATCTTGTCTTTTTACAAAACCATCTTCAACAAGTTTCAGTAAAATCATTAATGATTGATTTGAAGGATGATAATACTATTGGACTGTACTAATATAAGAAATGAGAGAAATTACTAGTGGTATGTATCTGAGATTTCATTGTTTAGTTTGGTGGCATGCTACCTTAGATTTATGTTGTGCAGTTGACTCCCGCCCGTTGAAGCATGACGAGGGGGGACATGGCCCATTAGGAGGTGTAGTGTTAGACATGTAGGGATGGAGGGGGAGGGGGTGGAGTAGGAGGG